ATATATATATATATATATATATATATATATATATATATATATATATATATATATCTGCAGGTCTTGTTGTATTCGGGTCTTTTCCCATGTAAGATTGAGATTTTCTTGGCAACGTTTCGGCATTTCGCCAGCCTGAAGATGGCAAGTGGGACCTATATATATATGCTGGTCTTGTTGTATTCAGGTCTTTTCCCATGAAAATCTATGAAAACATACATAAACACACACACACACACACAAACACAATTTGTGAAGTTATGTATAGAACAGGAGTGTCATGTACCTCCTATAGATTGTGATGCCTATTACTGATCAATCAGCAATAACTGAGGTCTCAATTGTTGCTTGAATTCTTTCAACTTTTTAAAGACGTTATGGCTCTAAATGTTTCTTTTTAAAGATCAAAATCAGCATTAATAGAAGATTAAACATCTTACTCAATTCATAGAAAAAACACATTTTGTACAAAACTAACTTTTAAAATCAATACATTAGTGATATCTAAACCCAATATTCACATGTGCCCTGATCTTTTGCACCTGATCACACTCTGGTTGGGTTCATTCAAGCTGCCAACAAGTTTGGTTTGCATTACATGCTAAGAAAGTTACACCTAACTAAGCTTATCACGTTATGTGAATACAGCTATTAGCTGTTTAAATGGCCTTGTTGAGAATGAACCATAATCTAAACTACTGAGCACTAAAGGCTGTGGGTAAGGAGAGATGTTGTAAATACATTCAGGTGATGATTGTTTCTTATTTATTAGGAAGCTTGAAAATCTTTAGAGACATTTGAGCACAGCCATCCTTGGAGGCTTGAAAGTATGTTTCTAGGAAACTCCTAATTATAATACATACAAACTGAATGACTTTTTAGTTTACAAAGAAAGACATGAAGATAAACAATAAAAACAAAATACTTACAGCAATTATAATTTAATGCAAATTAATAATAATAAATATAATGCAAATTTGATTACTGAAAGAGGGATATATATATTAATTCAAGGAATTTTAAATAAGATAATGATGATCTGGTAAGCCACAGTGATAAAAACTTGATCTTATCTAAAATTTGACAAAAATTTGGGATTCTGCACAGATGGATTCAAGACCATAAAATCCCCCCCCCCCTTTAGGGAAATCAAGATCACAAGTACTTCCCTACTTGTAAAGCTTAAATGATTATGTTCTACGTAATGGTTACTTGAACTTCAAGTATTGTTGATCTCACATTTCACAGTTTTTGCCATTTTACCAAACATCAAGTAAAATAATCATATGTATCGACTACTGATTAACTGCTTTCCACATAAGTATGAGTAGCAGACATGATTATTCTCTACAACCCTCCAAAATTCCCTTTAGGATATAAAATAGGCTAAGAGTTAAAATCATCTACTGAACTTTACATGCAAGTGGAGATTTAACCACATGCTTCTTGCTCTGGTCTAACTTTCAAACTTTTTTAAAATTTTGTTTTACAGTAAGAATAAAATGCAAAACAGAAAAACATATATCCAACACTAACAACAATTAAAAAAGAAACAAACTGGTGTATAGAGAGGAGATCAAATGGCCCAAATATGAAATAAATTTAACATTAAACATATACAGCATGTAGAATCCACATAATGGGTCTAACTTTCAAACCACTATACCAAACTGACTCATTTTGTCTAAACTTGAAAATTTTAGCAGCAGTATGATAAATGTGAATCTCAATTGCCTAATGGGAAAAATTGGTTATATTTCTGATCAGTCAACAGAAGCTTTAGTTCTGGTATGTCAAATACTAAAAAGAAAAATGAAACTCTACGTAATAGAATGTCAGTATCCAGATAGGGATCTATGGGACCTGATTCAAAAAGTGGATGCTCTTGAATCATTTGCTTTGCTTTCAAAATTAATTCTACCAGAATAACAGTGTAATGAGCAAATATACTATCTTTTATTTAGGGGTGCTTATTTCATAGATGGGATCTCACATTTCTTGCTGTTATTTTCCTTTTGTTTGTTTTCTTATAAGGTTCTTTCAAAGAATCTTCCCAGATGATGATGATGATTATGATGATGATGACTGCCTTAATGAAGTTATTGTCAACTCTTAGCAACTACAGAGAAAGAATTTCTCCATAATGATCTATTTCTAAGCTGGTCCTTCATCTCTTCCAATGGTGCATTCATTGCTACTGTAATTGAGATTATCCATCTCGCTAGTGATTGTCCTCTTGTTCTCTTCCCTTCCCTTCTTGTTTAAGGTCACTTTGTCAGGATAGGGAAAATTGTCATAAAACAATAATAGGGGAGAGTTACTCAGATGCACAATCATAATCAACAGGGAGGGAGGCTCCTTTAAAACTCCTTTCCTGTTTCTGGCTTTTCTTTTGCTTTGATGTACCTGCTTGGGAAAGGGAGTGAACTGCCTGGGACCATCTGTTTTGTCTCATCTCCGAAGAAACAGCCAGAGCGGTGCCTGAGAACAACTTATCATCTTTCTCGGCTCAAGTTCTCAAAACAACTTCACACCTGTGGATTGGCTCAACTCGGATTGGACATGTGGGAGGGGCTTTTTCAATGTTTAATCAAAATGGACTTTGAGTGGGAAACTCAGATCCTGCCTTACTACCCTTGCTATCACTTTCCCTCAATAAAAGTTTCCTTTTGAAATAATGCTTGTTCCAGGAGTTCTGCTTTCTTGAGGAGAGACGAGAGGCAAGTCCTTAGAGATTTCCTCATATCTCCTACAGTGTACATAATATGCACCAAGGACTATTACTATACTTTATTCCTCAATATTAACCGAAGTATTGCAGTAATAAATACTGTGCAGAAAAAAACCACCAGTGCTCAGGACATGTTCATTCATAAAAAACACATTTCTTTAAAAATGATTTATCATATATTGTTTTCTTTGCATCATCTTAAAGCATGAAGTGGATTTTTACCATATCTGCAGGCAGATCAATTTCTAATGAATCACTGACCTCTAATACAGTGATCAAATATCCATGTTTATAGAAGTGTTCATTAACATGCAAAGCAGCTCTCTATATGAATCCCTATAGATAGATGTACAGGTTCATGTGCTGTTGAAACCCAGAGAAACCCCACAGCGCTACACCACACTGGAACTTTTGACTGTGGTGATGTATAACTTTCATCTAGTAAGATATTTTTAAATTATCCATCAAAACAAACTTTAAATATTACATGATAAATTATGTATTCTTTCCATTCTAAAAGGCTCCTCATAACATATGACATTTAATTTTTAAACAAAGGAATTACAAACCATCAGGTTTTATATCTTAAGTACATATTAGCATTTATTTAATTTTACCTGATAATTGTCTAGATTCTTTCCTTCAAAATAAACTTTTGTTGAGACCTCCATTGGTATTATTTCAGGACTGGGATTTAAAAAGTGTGGACATTCTTCTTCCTAGAGGGCAAACATTTCATACATATTAATACAGAAATTTTATATATCAGAATATGTTTTGCACAATGTTTTTTTGTGTGTTATTATTATTTTTCTAGATTTGACTACAAGCATGCAAATTTGTATGCTAGAATGTCCGAACTACTATTTAACACTTGAAAACTTTCTATTCTTTCAATAAAATTATGAAAAAGGATAAAGGGCACACAATTATAACTCACATATCTATGCCCCATTCATCTAGCCCCTGAATGATCGGGATTTTTAAACAGGTCTATATCTTTTTCCAGTGAAGCCCAATCAACTCTGATTTTGGCTCTCTGCAATGCAATTAGACAAGTTTCACAATATAGTTACCATATATTGTTTATACCCCTGCTGTATTGCCTGATATACTATACAATATCTGATTTACGGTCTGATTTATTAGCTGATTGCTATCCTAATATTATCTGCAGAACTTCTAAATTTTATTCCTTTATATGCGCACTTGGTTGTGAAATATTACTAGGAGGTTCTTTCAATAAAGTTCTGTACAGTATTTATATTTTATTTGTATTTTAAGATTGTTGTCCATACTAAACATTATCAAATCCATGTTCAGCCAAAGCCTTGAATAAGATTCCATCTTACAACATTTACCATATTCTGTTTAATCACATCCTGCTCTAGAGAAGCATCTTCACAGACATGATTCTTCAAGTCCCATTGGCAATTCCATCTACTGCTTGCACAGGAATAACACCTACATGAATAAATAAGAAATGCTTTTAGTTTGCATGCTCTTTGGATCCTTTTTAATAACTTCCAATGCCATTTTGAATATTAATAAAAATCCAAAGTCTTGCAGTCTTTCAGAGACAAAAATGACATTTGGAGGATAGAAAAATAATCATTACCGCCTGAGGTACATGGATGCACTCTTTAAACCAGCTGTATCTTTAAACCCACAGCTGAAATATGATTCTGGGAAAAGACTGTTTATGGAGATGAAAACAGGACCAATACAGACATTCTCATATGGAGCAAATCACATTTTTGCCTTATATCACAAGTATATGATGGCCTATTGATAGCCCAAGAGTTCAACAAGGATATCTCCCCAAACTTCCAGATACACAAGATACATGTTCTGATATATGGACTTCAGAAACAGTTAATGGTATCACAAAGGTCCAACAATTAGAAATCTTAACTGTATATGATACTATGCCTGCAGCTTTTCTACCAGAACAAATGACTTTAAGGCTGGAACAATGGTTTGTAACCATTGTTATGATGATATAAGTGTAGAAATCAAGTGTTAAATCATGCTCTTGGGCCAAGAGATTTCCAAAATTCATCTTCACCAATTGCTCCTTAACCCATCAAGATCATTATTTATATTTTTCTCAAAGCAAAATAGACAACTCAGACTGATCTTAGATGCTTGAGTAGTAAAGGTCAGACAAAAAATGCTTCAAGGAAAGTGGGGTTTCTCCCAGTATGTATCGTATTTTTCGGAGTTTAAGATGCAACTTTTTCCCTCAAAAAAGAGGCTGAAAATCTGGGTGCGTCTTATACACTGAATATAACATTTTTTTTGCCTCCAGAAACCCTGCCCCTTCACCAAAATGGCCATGCATAGCTTGTAGGAGGCTTTCAGAGAACTCCTGGGGGCTGGGGGAGGTAGAAATGAACAAAAAATGGGCCATTTTTTGCTTAATCCCCCCCCAGTCCCCAGGAACACTCTGTAAGCTTCCTAATGCCCCCTTTTTTACAAAAAACAGGCCCATTTTCTGCTCATTTTTGCCCCTCCCCCAGGAACACCCTACAAGCCTCCTACGGACTGTTCATGCCCTTTAAAAAAAAAACGGGCCTGTTACCGTGAAAAATGGGCTGTTTTTAGGAGGTTTGCAGAGTGCAAAATCTTTTTTTTTTAAATGCCTCTTCAAAATCTTGGTGTATCTTATACTCGTGTAGGAATAGAGGAAAGGTTATGTAAAGACATGCACAGTAAACTGCCATGATCTCAGTGGCTGGTTACCTCTTAACCTATGAGTTCACCTAATTAGCTTTACCAGGCAGTACCAGGAACTATTGAGTTATGTGAGATTCTACCCTGGGTGGGATGTTCTTAGAGATTGACAAGGAAAATAAGCCAATTACAATGCTGTTGCCCATATGCTCATTGCTTTGCTTGTAAAAACTGTATAAAAAGAATAAACCCTCCGAAGGAAGGAGGAGGCATTTTGGAATGAACCTTGTGATGTCTGGACTCTGAATCCATCATACTCCAGTGTGTCTTATACTCTGAAAAATACGGTAAACACTTTTTTCCCCTACTCAAGATACAGAAGGTCTCAGCTATAGGAAAAGTCAAGGTATAGTTTGCATCACCTTTGGTGATACTTCACAGAAAAGGCTTCTTCTTTGAACATGACAGTGAAATCAAAGGCATTAATTATTATAATATTTGAGTGCAAATAGGGAAAGTATAATGAAGTTCAGCAGCCAAATACTTACGGCTCATTTTCAATGCGATTTATAGCTTCTCCACAGTCATAAAAAGGGTATGTACCCGATGCAAAAAATATATTATCTCCAAAAGTTAGATTTACCAGAACCAGGACAGAATCTACAAAACAACAACAACAACAACAACAACAAACCACACATTAACACCCCACATTAATTTGATTGAAGATGCTTTATAATTTACATAGCTTGGTTCAATTTATGGTCCAATAATATAGCCTACTGAAGCATTTATTGAACTTGTGAGGTTAGGACGTGAATCTTTGGCTCTTTATTATCAGCATATAAAATCAAACCTGATGACAATAGTTATTTTAAAATATTTTAGAATCTCAAGCTTTAACAATGCACAAATGCTTCCCCCCCCAAAATCGGTAAACTTCCTATTATTGAAAAATGCAGTCAGATAAAAGCAAAAGGAGAATAGCAATAACAATAGCACTTACATTTATAAACCACTTCACAGTGCTTTACCATACTCTGAGCTGTTTATAATGTCAGCGTATTGCCCCCAATAATTTAGGTCTGTGGTCTCTACCAACCTCAGAAGAATACTGAGTCAACCTTTAGCCCTGTTGGGATGCAACTCTAAACTGTGGGCAGAGTTAGTCTGCAATAGTCTACGCCACCAGAGAAACACTACAGATAGATAGCAAAATGTATGAATAAATCTATTAATGAAAATATCTTTGTTGTTAGATTCTTAATTGTGTTAATAATTCAAAAATGATTACTCAGAAGTGCTTTGGATCTTGTGTGAATATAGCACACAAGTATAGTGAGTATTTGCTCTTTATTAAAAAGCACGCTAATTTATTTCAGATTTCTATACAAGCCTGTAAAAAGTCAGTGTGACTTTTAAAAAATCAGAATCATTTTATCAAGTTTACATGGAAACCTGAAGAAATTTAGGATGCTTTTAAAGAATAGCAAAATACTTTGCTCATATTTAAATGTATGTTGAATTTCTAAACAGGGTACACTCCTATTTGTTTTTAATAAGATACATGGATTCAAAAATAAATGCATACATACACACAAAGATTGTATACAGAAAGTATATATTGCCCAAGTCATTTATGAATAAAACATGCTTCTCAAATAGCAAATATGTTATGAAAATAGTAATTTAAGACTAGAATTGTGAAAAAACATCAATATATTGCACATATTTCCTCTATTAATACATTACTAATATGAATTATTACAGAATTAAGAATGAATATCTATAGAAATTGAGGCTTTCTCAATGAGACTCCTAGCTCTTCCTCTTATGGAAATCATTAAATCCTCTGACAAGCTATTTCACAAGCTATTGAGCAACTTCAAACTCTGCTTTCAGCTTGTGGAAAGAGTGGTGACAGCTTAGATTTAAGCTCACTTCATGAAAAATTCCAGTGAAAATTGTTGGATGTTTTTCACTTTAGGCCATACTTTCAGAGGTCAACTGGAAACTGAATATATATTTTAAAGATGTCAGTTAATTCAGAGCTGTCGCTTTCAAAATATATTTATCATTTGCATTGATCAAATCTTCTCAGGAGAAATGAATGTGACTAGAAGCATTTCTTACATTCCCCAGGAAACCACTAATTCTTACATTCCCCCCAGGAAACCACTTGCAACAATTTGCAAGAAATGGCTTTATATAAGAAGGCATGCACTATTAACTTGCTAGAAAAATGTGCAAACAGAAATTCTCTTATGTTCAATATTTATGAAGCAGTCACAGTCTGATCTCCCAAAGTATAGTCTACAGTGAAAAATAACCTAAGATATATTTTTATTTGGGACAAATAGTGTAAAGGACATTCTTGTTTTATCCTGGAAATTATGACAGACATTTATATATCATTCTACTACCCAAGATAGAAATGGCGTCTAGGTCAACTATTAACTTTAGCTTTAGTCAACCAATGGTTTTGCCATATGATATAGCTTTTAAGGCAACTTTTTCAACCTGATGCCCTGGCTAGATACTGGAATGCAAATTTGAGAAGATCAGATAGTATAATCTTTGGGGTTTGCTATTTGTGAATTTATATACTATATTTATAAACTGCCCCAATCAACTAGGATTCTGGGCAGAAGATAACACAGTCAGTATACCCAGAACAAAATAGGAAGTTTAACTCAATAAATTAACAATAAAATGTAAATACAAAGTAATGACCATGAAAACTAGGGGCTAAATGCCCATTAAAAGTTTGAACTTGTATCCTAAATAAAAGGATGGAGGATGTCATCCTCACTTTTGGGCATGGGGTATTTCAAATAATAGTTGGCACCACTGAGAAAGACTAGCATCTGATCCACAGCCTATGGCACAGTGGTTAGAATGCAGTACTGCATGTTACTTCTGCTGCCTGCCAGCTGCCTGCAATTTAGCAGTTCAAATCTCCACTGACTCAAGGTTGACTCAGCCTTCTATCCTTTCGAGGTTGATAAAATGAGGACCCAGACTATTGGAGGCAATATGCTGACGCTGTAAACCGCCTAGAGAGGGCTGTAAAGCACTGTAAAGAGGTATATGTCTAAGTGCTATTGTTATGAAATGCATGGAATGGGAACAGTGCTGTTTGCAAGATGAATTGAATGGATAGAGTCTAACTTGACATATCATTGTCTGATATAATCCAATGCTTTAAAAATGGATGGATAGCACTTTGAAAATTCATCCAGCTGTATTTACATTCTGATGGTTGTCTTATCAGGAGTCTTGTCAATGAAATTTTGAACCAGACAGTTTATAAATAATCTCCAAGGGTATCCTGACATAGAGAGTATTATAGTAATCTTACTATGTGGTGAACTGAACATGAGTCACCTTTGCCAAGGCATCTTTTTTCAAGATAAGTGCAGTAGCTGAAACTGAACAAATGTCTCCCTAGCCATGGTTTACACTTGCTATTTCAGCAAGAATCTTGACTGCTGAAAGATCCTCAGGTTATGCATCCTCTGGGAGGAGACTATCCTATCAAGAGTAACTACTATATTGATGGTTTTTTTAAAAAAAAATACCCTGATGTTTACTGGCAACAAACAACTCAATTGTAGCAGGCTGAATGAATTTCAATTTGAAATGAAATGCCTTTTGAGATGTTCATCCTTCACCTTTTAGCTTTTTTGTAATACTTAATGTATGCATAAGGGAGGAAAATATGCCTGGAATGCATGAAACAGAATTAACAGAGAAATTGCTATTAATATTTCTAAGAAGAAAAAAATGTTAAAGATACCATTCTTAGGCTAATGCCAAGAAAAATGAATCACAGAAAAACCCACACAACATTTGTAGTTTCAAGCAGCTGTTAAAATAGGATCTTCAAACTTTGGATTTGAGCTTTAAACACGGGGCTCAGCTGTCTCTTTACCTTGGCCTTTGGTTGTTGGAGGAATTTGATTTGGAGGTTGGCAGATAACAGCATCCCCTTGTTTCTCTGCGGGCTGCCTCATTTCACCAAACTGACACCAAAGCTGGTCATCTTCATTTAAGTCTGGCAAAGGGCTTATAGTAAATTCTACCTGGAATTGTAAGAACCAACAATACTTAGAAACGGTACAGATTCTAACAAAGCAACATAGAAGCGCCGCAGTAAAACTCTGTACAAAAATAAAGCAAAACTGATCAATGCATAAAGTTAATGAAACAATAGTGGCATTATAATGAATTACTAGTAACTGAATTAATTTTGGAAAGCAACCACAGGTTTTACGTACAAAAGCTTAAAAGATTCAATACTTGGCACTGAACCAATTTTGAAAAGTTTGGGGCAAAGATCTCAGTAGAGGATCCCTTGCTAGTTGAAGTAGATATTGTTTAGATCACAGATAGACAATTATGGCTCTCTTAATGTTACTGGATTCCATCACACAGACAACAGATGCTTCCAATAACTTTATAGACGAACCATCTGTTGCTATCTAAGGCATCTTGGATATTCAAGGTATCGTCATATATTTGATTAGCTATTTCCAAGGAGAATAGTTCAGCAAGGACTCATAAACTGACTTTCAAATGACACCTTATGTTAGATACAGAGTTATTTCAAGAAGCCCAATGTACGATAAATTTTGCCCTTTTTATATTGGAATGTTTTTTCTAATTTTAAGAATGATATTTTTGATGATATTATGGAAACCAAATCAAACTATTAATAGATTTTACTCATTCTCTCTTCTGTTGTCATCATATTTCCATAATACAGTCTGCTGTCATGTACTTTGAGATAAACCTTTGGAACTGCCTCATTCTTGTTGTAAAAAGAACAACAAGGTGGTCCCAGCAGAACATAATTTGAAACAGCCGGCATGAATTTCAACTTTTTCTTTTTAAATTTCTAGATGGAATTCTCTTTGTAACTTGCAAAGGTGCTTTGTCCCCTAAAAACCCGCCTTGCATATTTTTGAAATAAGACGTAAGCCATTGTTTTCATGCTTTTATGTCTCTACAGAATACAACAAGCCTTTTGTTGAATTCTCACTTCGGCCTAAATGTAGCATCTATTCAGCACAGAAGTTGTTTAAACTTTTCCAGCACAATTAAAGCACGCTGTCCACAGAACAGCATAAGCCAGAACACACAGCGGGAGTTACAAGTCAGGCTGGAAATAATCAAGGAACTTATTCTGAAAGTACAACAAAGACAAACTTCCCAACAAATAGAGCCGACACAACATTTTGTTTGGTGAAGGACAAAAATGAGATGTTTTCTGAGGAAGAGTGATGACGCCTGGTTGCTTTGCAAGCACTTCAGAATGTGCACCCCAATATTCAATTATTCCTACAACCTTAAGAAATCAATATCCTCAAAAAAAGGTGAAAAAAGTATGGAATGGGTTAAGAAGTTCATTGATTTGATTAGCTCCCTAAGAAACACTGCTGACGTTGTCTTCCAACAAGTTAGACTTCACAGTTCCATTCTGTTTTGCCATCACCTTTAACTGCTGTGTGTTTTAAGTAATTGTGTGGCCTATTTTCCTAAGTGAGAGAGTTTTGCCTTTAGGAATCAGAACATTGAAAAAAATGAGCCATGGGAACAGATAAATGTAACTATACAGTCAGGGAATGAGCAAGAGATGAAAAGATACTTTCTTTTTGTACTATAATTAATCATAATATAATATTTCTCCTATTCATTGTGACCCTTTCCCCTCCAAGTATAATATTTTTGTCTTGAAAGAAAAGGGGATATATCACAGGTCTGCAAAAAAAAATTTTCCGAGACCTGTTTTGGTTATTCCACATAATCTTTATGTTTTTTGGTGTGCTGAATCCGAAAATGACCTCCATTTTGTCATAGGACATCATGTTTCCTGACAATTTAGGTAACTATGTTAAATAAGGCAATACCTCAAAATAAATGGAAATAGACTTATAAAATTAAAGTTTTATTACAATATTTTCATGAAAATCCTT